CTTCTTCGTTAGTGTAATTTTAACGATAAATAAAAAGGTATATTACTCATATAAAAGTTCAAGACAATTACAAAACACCAACAAGTAAGATCCCCATATTTTCAGCAAGAACCTCAACAGTAAATTTTAGATATATGTTTATAAGTTTTTGACTACTTGCCAAGACAGCCTATCCCCGAATCTCTCATGATTTTTTTTAAATGTAGTTGAGTTTGTTTTAGTAGTTGTTGTCATTTGATAACAATTTTACTTAAGTTCATTGATGAAATAAAAAGGGATAAGAAAACAAATTTTTATTTAAAAAAACGAAAGAACTGGACCCATGAATACCGCTGAGGGAAGCATAAAAAACAACACCGTACACAAGTAAGGCGAATACCCAAAACAGTCCTAACTCCTACCTAATCATCACCTGGGAAAGTATTCTATTGGGTTCAAAAAATTAGATAGAACATCTATAAATTAAATTACATTATAATAGTAGGCCAAACAGCCCGATAGTCCAAAATAATAAACGGAAGTAACGTTCAAAACATCTGGCACGGCAGTTTGTTTTCCGAGAAATACGTATGGAAAGGGCCAACACTACGAGCTGTGAACCATTGATAGATGTACAAATAATAATAAAAATAACGAAGAGTTCGAAAAGATTTTTAATATCAAGGTAAACCTGGTAGGGATGGTAAGCTTTCAGTACTTTGATACTTTTGTAGTTTCCAGAAATATAATAATAAATACGAGAGCTTGGATGTACTAATGTCCCTTATGATAAATTATAATGAACTATAAAATTATTAAATATTACTATCAAACCTCCGAGCGACAGTTCATTATGAAAAAATGGTTACTAAAAATCATATCTTAATCTTAGAATTTTTGATATACTTGAAATAACAAATAATAATTGTTTTTAAATGAACTTGTGAGTTTTTCATGACCTTGTGTCAGAGTTCAGTAAATGTGATGTCTTAAGCCCCAGGATGATTAAGATGTTCTTTCTTGACTACGCTTCAAAAAATTTTATGTATTAGAGCGTACTCGAGAAAGAGATCGTCACTCACTAGATGCACCAATATCTAAAACTTAATTTAATCCTAAACAAGGGTGATTTTTATTTTTCAGAAAAATGTTTGCCTTTATGTCTTTGCCTTTTTGGTATTTCAAGGAGGATCATCAGCGAAATTTCACGCTATAATATTTTGTATATCCCGGAAATTTACTTTGAATTTAGATGAATATCTAAATAGCGATAGCAATTAATGTATAACATCAGAAATAATTATTATAGACATGAAATAAAAAAATTTGAAGACTGTAACAATTTGGTGTCTGAGAAATTAAACGTTATTCTCTTCTAAAAAAAGGAGTGAGATCCACAATAATTTTTTGCCAAGCTTAAATACACTAAAATTATTGTTGCGAAACTATTTTGAAACAAAAAGCTATTTTTAATTAGCTTCAATAATAACGTAAATACATTTAACCATGATGAAAAATTATTGTAGATCCCACTTTTTTAAAATCTTTTTTTTTAAATTATAGTTAAAAATAGTATATTTAGAACCGTAGTAAAAAAAAAAAACAGTTTTAAACCTAAAATATAATTAAGAACGCAACTGTACATTTTGTTGAGCGAACACCTACTTTTAGAGTTACTTTAATAATAATATTTATCCGTATTATTTCGTTGGTCCGAATGATATAATATTTTTTATTGTAACCGATTCATGCCTATCATGACTTTTTTCTAGAAATGGAGTTACAATTATTTCAATGTTTAAAGTTACTATTTTAATCTAGTTTAGAACAAATCAGTATCTTTCTGTCCATTAGGAATCCATTAAATTTTGAAGATTATAGTGGAAATGATTGTATAAAATTAAGGTCTTATCCTGAGTTTGTAGGAATTAGAATAATGAAATAACGTAAACACCATGTATTACCTGGCGTAAGTAATACCCATAGCCGTATTCTTATACACTTCGTCGACCTAAGTTAAAGGTACCAGGGCTCCAGCACTTTCTGAATACGGTATCTGTCATCCATCATGAAACTGTTGGGTAGCTGGGACGTAGATTGGTCTGGAAATATCAAAATATATATTGTACATATTTTAAAATTTTTTGAATCAAAAGGATAATAAAACTATAATGCTTACTTTTGTCCGATTTTGAGGCCCTTGCTTTTGAGCAACATCGGGTTCTTTTAGATAACGAACTTTTGGAGCAAAAACTTTTCTATTTGATTTTTTGTATATTTTAAAATGACAAAGGCTTGGTGCTTCAGCAAAGTCTTCGACGCTTGTTAGAATTATGTACTATCTTTGCCAATGTGATGATATTTTTTTACAAATACTTTACGGTGCAAGTTAAAATCCATAGAAAACACTGGACTTACACACGAAAAATAAAATAGATTACCTGTCTCAATTACTTGAAATAATGGTGGAAATTACTGATAACTTGTTCGTTGCTTGATACTGTATGCTGGCTTAAATACTATTACCGCCAGAATCATAGAGTTTAATGTAGAATATCATCATGAGAATCTCGGTATGTTTATACTAAAAACATCAATAGTTCTTAAAGTAGTTGTATTTAAAATTATTTTTAAGACTATTAAAATTTGTAAAATTTCTACTGAATTAATAACAGTGAAATATACATGCGATGATGATATTTATTCAGTAACATAAATTGATACTACTAACCTTTCAACGAAGTATGTCGACGTTTCCTCACGAAGAACTCTGAGCGTCTGACTAAAAATTAGACTTAGCGACTGGGATCCAAGAGCTGACTGATGGCCACGTTAACCAACAAATACCACTAAAATGTATACTCCCCTCCCTCTTTTACCTTAAAATTACACTGCTGGCTCGTGTCGATTTCGCCTGCGGCCTTACCTGATAAGTTATCACTCACACTTATATACTTATGTCTTCACACGGTTAGGTTTCTTGAGAACCCGGACTCCTCGAAGCTGATAAGCAGCTAATGAGTGGCGTGTTATATTTTTCTACGATATGTACTAATCGACTTTTCAAAGTTTCTTTGTCTATGATAATACACAGTGAATGTTAAAAATAAGTGATAGGAGCTTTAACGTGGGCTATTTGAAAAATTGATACTTTCATGTTAAATTGCAATGAGAGTTTTTTCAGAGAGAAAATCTTTCAGCAATGAACCACAACATTACGGAATACGGACGTAACAGACGTAAAATACCTGAGCAAGGAAAAGCGAATCAAGGAATAAATAAGAGAAATTCAAATGCTCAAAAGTAAAAGCCAAATGAATTTTAGTGAAAATAGAGACGGGGAGAGTGAGAGGAAATGAATAGCTCTCGCAACTAACCCGAAGCCAGTGCATAAGGCATTATATCTTGTGGGGGCTCTACTACAAGTCAGTACATACGTACGCTAAAGTAAGTGAATAAAGGCTCGCACGCGTGCTGATGGTCAAACGCTGTGTCGCGCTTGGGTATTTATCGGCCAACTTCTCACCTCAAACTCATTTATCTTCTCGGTGGTAAGCAGCACATCAGGCCTGCGTTAACGCAGAAAGCCCTCTACGCAAGTACGAGGGTAACTTCTGTCTTCTCGTTCTCTGTGTTTGCGTGCCTTTTCTTGTACACTCGCTTCTAACTGACCAGTCAGTACACAAATACCCTAGGGCTTTTTGAGATGAATTTTGGTAGCCAATACCCATGTACCTCATCAACGAGAGCTTTGTATGATGTTATTATTAATGGATTTTCTGTGAATGCTTTTTAGTGGAGTTGACCAGTTTTTAGAGGTAAATAAAAATTACAATTTTCAGAGTGCAATAATATGCACCTTATGGGACCAATGAAATTTTTTCGTCATTGCTAATCCAACAAATTTTAATGTAGTAAAATCTTAAATAACATGTATTTTGCTGGAGTATTACATAACTTTTCTTGTCAGTAGATATTTACGAAAAAAGTCCAGATACGCTTGAATAATTTTTGTGTGGCAATAAAAAAGAGTAAGTTAAATAATAAGAAGCTCCATAACTTGATGATTTTTGTATAAAATTGTGTTACATGCTCTGGTCTCAAAACGCATCACTTACTTTTGGTAAAATATTATTAATTAGTTTTCAAGAATTGGAGGTTTTTTTTAGGTCGTTAAAAAAGAATGCGAATTTTTTGTAAATTTTAATATTTTATTTTATTAAAATCTGGATACAACTTATGATTAAAAAAAAAAAGCTCATTATTTACTAACACGTATTTTTTACAACTTACCTACGTAAACGTAGATCTTTGTAAGCGTACAAAAAAAAGCCAAAGTAAGCGAAATCGGCGCGTTTACCAACTGAACAAGCCGCGTGCTGGAATAATAGGGTAGCAAAGGTGCTGCTAGAAAGTTTCAGGTCACGTATAGTTTGGATACTTGTGGCAGTATGGTGCCTGTCAGCGGGGTCCTTGAATATATCAAAGTTTATGTGTTTTAACCTAATATCACTGGCACGCGTATCTCTCTCGTAGTAAAACTAACTTTCTTCACGTGACTTTAACGATATGTCGAGTACCCTTGAACATATATTCCCCTTGCTTGTATTCGTCTGTTCTTTATTCATTGTTTGGCTTACTCATTTTTTTCTACATTTAGATCAAACAAATGATCCTTTTTTTATTAACTTTATATGTTATACACACCTTTTTGTACAATTTTTGAAAATATTATGTTTAAAAATTATACCATGCACTTACAACTAACTTATTTATTGATATTAGTTTTAGTAATGTATCCCATAGCATAGACTTTAATAATAATATTTATCCGTATTATTTCGTTGGTCCGAATGATATAATATTTTTTATTGTAACCGATTCATGCCTATCATGACTTTTTTCTAGAAATGGAGTTACAATTATTTCAATGTTTAAAGTTACTATTTTAATCTAGTTTAGAACAAATCAGTATCTTTCTGTCCATTAGGAATCCATTAAATTNTTTTTTTTTTTTTTTTTTTTTTTTTTTTTTTTAACAACAAACCGATTAAAACTAAAAATATAAATTTTAAAAATTTTCTTATATTCTAAAATACAACTTTCTACGTTGACACACATGATTTAAAAATTGGAATGGACTTCATAAATCAGCATCAATTCTTTTAAGAATGATGAGCATTAAAAGCATATTTACAATTATTCAAATCATGTCCATTGAATTTATATGAAGTCAAGGCTTTTTAGCATTCCGGGAATAAAAATAAAATAATAACTTATGTATGTCAATATACTAATTATATAACATGTACGTGTCAATGTATCATTGATAGTGCTCTGACAGAATAAAAAAAGTTCAAATTCCGTTCTCCAATCTTAACAACTTGCATAATATTAATGCAATATCAATAGTTTATCAGGAAAACGAAAGTTTATAAATTTTATAACACAAAAAAATTACGACACAGTCAATCAGTATAAAAAAGTGTATGATTGATATTATTAGCGATACTATTTGTGGCGATACATCCGTAGCTGTTGAAATTAATCCGTAAATTGGTATCTCAGAAAGCCTGCCGCCAATAATACCAAGGTACACTCTTACTGTCTTGTCTTATAGTATAACTCTTAGTCATATATTAAAAATTAACTTAAACTTACTGATATAAATTTAACAAGCTACAATTCCTTAAAAGTTTTACCGCTGGGTGGATCAGTTACGAAATGCTCCGACAGATTGTCGTACATGTTGCAGGTATAACTTCCATAAAACTCTTGAAGTCCAAGTCGTTTTTGCTGTTGCAGTTGTTGAGACGGTTGCGAGTGTTGCAAGGTCATTTGAGACTGATGATGCTGTGACCGTAGCTGTGGAATAACTTGTTGTTTTTGTTGCTGCTGCTGTTGTTGTAGCTGTTGCAGCTGATGTAGCTGCTGGGGCTGTTGCATCAGTTGTATGGATGAGTAAAGTTGTTTTTGCTGCTGCAAGTGCAGCTGTTGCTCTTGTTCAAGCACGTTCATTTTTAATCTGTAGTTGTTGATATAGTTTACTGTATTTTTACTGTATATGTCCATGCTGTTGTTGGAAAGAAAAAATGATAACTAATTAGTGGTCGGTTCTTGTATTTTTTGAAACTGCAAAAATTTATTTTCGAATTATCAAAAGCTCAGTTGACGCGTCTTAATGCTAAATAAAATTTTTAATATCGTCTATTCTCGTACAATCGTTAAATAACAGTAGATAAAAAATTTTCTCCACTTAATGACTTTTTCTCTAGAATTTGTTACGCTTTGAGCTCATCTAGTTAACTGTTCAATGTTTACGATTCGCACGTTGAGCATCAGTCGAAATCACAACAAACAAATATTATCTTGACTATATCAAAACTTTCTATAAAATATCTTGGTAAAGCTTATTTCATACAGTATAAATGAAAAACAGTAATAAACTAAAGCGCAAAGTTATTAAGAAACGTGTAATATTTTAAGCTTACACCTACTTTTATTTGATTTAATTTCTATTTGAATATTTTTATTTATTTTTACTTTTTTCTTGTTGTAGACGGTTTAATTACTAGTATTTTTAGCTGATCTTGTTAACTGTTTAAGTGTTTTCATATATCTGATAACTGTTTTTGTTCTGCGAATGACAGTTACAAATGTTTCCGAATTCAATAATGTAATTTTGGTCAGGTTTAGAATACATCAAAATCTTTCTAGGAATTCGCCAAGAAAATGTCTTCAAATTTAAAGAAAAAAAAAATTGTACAAAAGTTATATTTTAGTGTTGTTTTTTTTTTTTGTAGAAATTTCAAAAAATATAAAAGCATAAAATAAAATTTGACATTACCTAGCATAATTAGCACCAGAAGACGAATTATTATACACCTCGTTGGCAAAAGTTGTAGGCGCTAAGGCTCCAGCGCTTGATGGATATGGCAGCTGCTCCGCATCGTCAAGTTGTTGCGCACTGGGGGCGTATGGGTGCAACGATGTTTGTTGTTGAAGTTCAAAATAATGCATTGACTGCTGAGGTGCCTGCGATTGTTGGTCCTGCTGATATGGTATAAAAGTTTGCTGGTGATACGAGGACAACAGTTGTTGCTGTCCATATAATGAAGGTGGGGATTGCGGAATTTCGGTGCCTCCGATAGCGCCCACCGAGCCTAGCACTGCCGTAGATGTCCGTGGAGCCGTACCCTTTTTAATGTTATTTTTGCTATCCGGGGAATTTTTCTTTTCTTTTTTTAATTTCATTCTGCGATTTTGAAACCATATTTTAACTTGACGTTCGGTAAGATTGAACTTTTGTGCCACGTGAAATCGATTTGAGCGGCTCAAGTAGTTATTACTGTTAAAAACCTGTTCTAGCTCGATAAGCTGCGTCGAGGTAAATACAGTTCTTGTTCTTTTCTTTGCAGATTGGTCTAGAAGTATTAAAATGAATGTTTTATACATTTAAATATATTCAAGCAAAATAATCATGTAAATAAAATCCTTACTTCTCTTTTTCTGACTTTGAACCTCTTGCTCCTGAACAACATCGAGTTGTTGATATTGAATGTCCATTTTGTCTGCAGCGAAAACTTTACTTTATTTTTGGTATATTCCCATCCAAAAAAGGTCCGCAGCAGAACTTCAGTCAAGTATTTAAGATGTACTGGATAACTAATGTAGTTTTTTCTTTATAATTACTTATAAGATGATAGATGCTTGTAAACACGTTAATGGTGTGTGTTAGGATCCACCGCAATCACTGAACTTATACACTTGGCTGAAATTATTAATAACTTACTGTATCATAGCTATCCTCTACTAAGAAAGGAACTACAGGCTTACTTACTGTTATTTCTTGGAAAGCACTTGGTAAGCTTATAGAACGCTATTAAGAAAGTCCTGCCAAGTGTTTATTATTAATCAGTGCTGGTACTGATCTGTGTACAACTAATTATTGCTGGATGACAATTACTATGTCAATAACAGTGCTGATATTTCAACTTAGACTGCATCTATATTGTATATCGCTTAGAGGATCCAGAATACTTATGTTGCTGTCTTGTACAAATTCTGAAACATAAAGACTGTTGTATTCCAAATAGTATAATAAAACATAAATTATACAGCGTATTTTCTGAATTGATTTAAACACATGGAACAAAAATATTTAGTAATTTTTGTCGTTGAGAAAAAAAAATTTAATCAATATTAACTTTAGTTCCAAACAAATTAGTGTATACGCTTAGCATGCATTCATTGTTTCATTTTTATAATGAGTAAAATAATATATTATCGGTAAATAAGCTAGGAACTACACGTTTTATTTATTTTTCAAATTCTGCGAGCTCAGTCTCGTAAAAGTCGCGATTATTTATTATTTTTTAAAGTTTTGTTTGATGAAAAAAAAATAGAAACAAAAAATCTATATTGTCCTGCATAACAAAGTTGGTAGTCTTATAATAATGTGTGAGGCGCGTCTAACGGCACTAGTACAAACTTAGTACACAGGTGGCCAAAGGTACCATTTATAGACCATACATATACATGCACATAAAAAAATAACATATAAATATGTGAATTAGTGAATGTACATAATTTACCGTAGTTCATAACTTATACCCACTAATACGAATGTGTATATCTCTGATTGTATGTGTCTTCTTTAAAACAATACCATATGATAATATGCTTATTTAATAAATTTCACAGGTGTCTTTACTAGTAAGTAATACTTAGTGCATGACTTTACTTGAATACTTAACGCACTCGTACACCAACTCATATATTTATAAGTATAGGTTTGCATATTTCATGTGGTACCATCTACATATTATATATAATAAATAATGTTTTTATACACATACATGATCAATGACTAAGTGTTACGTGGGGCTCTGTGGCCTCAGGGTGCTCACGAAATAATTACAAGGAGTTAGGATCAAGTACTTCATTATCAAAAACGAGAGAAGAGGTGCATTAATCTTAACCGTTCGAAGCCAAGGACCTACCCTTTACACTCGACCGACTCTCTTGCTAGGTATTCTCTGACTGCCCCTCACTCTCAGCTCCTATCTCGTTATCTTTCCTGCTTTTCCATCCTTCAGGGCCCAAACTAGGAGGGGCGCACGGGCGTATAGCTATATGCTATCGTACGTAACATAGGTTCGTATTTTCAAAAATATGGTAATAAATATAGTGATAAGAAAATTATTCTATTGATGATCATATTTTACTACAAGTAAACTAGAATCAAATAAAACTTTATCATGTAGCAAACCTTACAGTTCTTTGAAGTATTGTAATGTCACAGTAATGTATCCAACACAAACATTTTTTATAATTTGGAATCTATAGCTGCTTATGCTTTCTGGTGTACTTCATTTTATTACCATGTACATATACCTTCTTATAATATTATACCATGACCTTCTTTTAATATTCAATGATATGATTCTGAAGTAATTAAGACAACAATTTCCAAATTCCATTTATATTTTTTTAATTTTTTTCTTAAATGTTTCATTCATAAAAATATTATACATGTTACCTGTAGTTCCCAGGGGCCAGATTACCTGTTTTTTTTTGTTTAATATTCGTTACTATAAGTATAAAGAAAAAGTTCCAAAGCTCAAAATTTATAAATTGTACATGCTTACTAAACGTTACGATACCTTTTCTTGTTTACAAATTTAAATAGTTAGTTTTCTTATAGTATATACAAAAAAATGTATTTCGGGCATTAAAATTAAGCTATTTTTTGGAATTGAACTACTGTTTATAGTGTAAAAAAATCTCAAATTCCACACTAAAATCAAATTAGTTTTATACTTTTTAAAGATTTGTTATTAAAAGCTTCTTCACAGGAGCCAGAATTTAAAAAAACGTTTTGCATATTTGTATGCTTATGCTTATACATCATGCTTATGAATTGTGTGTAAAGGTTTGTATAATAACATAATCTTAACAATTCAAAATCCTGAAAGAGAAGAGTGAGCGAAAAATTACCCAAATCTGCTAAATAGACAGAAATAAGAAGGTGCACAAATAAATTAGTTGATGGGATAAGATGACCTCAAAAATTTTTTCAGCTGTATTAAAACTAATGGTATAACAAAATTACAACATATTAGGCAAAGCTTTTTTAAGGGCAAAAAAATAAGTGATCATACCTACTGTAGTTGATATACCTTAAAAATTCGTAGCTGAATTTATTTCTTAATAGTTTTTTTTCACCATTTCTGCAGAGTGGAATAACTACAGAAATTTTTTCAGGAAACGTATTCCAAGAACTGCAAAAAAATCTTACTTCTCGATATGAGTTACTTCACTAGGAAACCAAAAAAAATTGTTATTCTTAACTTATATAGATTTCTCTTTAGATTATTGTGTTATTATGAAATTTTTTTTCTGTAAATTAGTCATAGGAACAGGTCTAGAGTATATTTTACACCTATGGGGGTGGTGAGTTGACAAGCTCAGTTCAAAGGATTTTAGAAAAAAGAACCTCCCGTTTACAATAGGAAGTGTTTATATTTATATACACTTCTTATTCTAAATGAGAGGTTCTTTTTTCGAAGCCTCACTAATATACTTTCTAGTGGGGCTTCGCCCCCTGCGTGCTCCGCGCGCCAACTCCCAAATTTTTGAATATCAATTAAAAGCTTCATTTCTTCGTGTATATGTCTTCCAAACATGGTGCTGTATATTTAGACATACTTTCTGTTTTTTAATGCTTTAATATCATTGGATGAAGGCTCTTCCCCCTAATGCCCTCTGACCTGCTTTTGCCAACTCGTAAGCCGTGAGATATGTAAACTCCATTATTAACGTGTATTTCATTATAAATTACCCATACAGTATATCGAATCGTCCTACTCTTTGTTAGACTGCAATGTACCATGATACTCTTCGCTAGAGTGCAACTAGCAGTGTAACAGTTTGTCTAGATTAACACGTCAGTATGGTCATCATGAAAGTATAAAACATGCTGTTCTTCGTTAAAAACGTTGAGTGGTGCTAGTTTTTTGCCAGATTATAGCAATTTGTTAGTTCTAGTCTTCTTGGGGATCGTTGGTACACATAAACACACTGTCGTATGCAGGCCGTCACCTATCAGGCATGGGGGCAGGTTGAATATTTTTCTCTCACGCATTGACTCTGTCTACTCGGTTGAACGTTATATTACATAATTAAAATGCAGATACGTTTAGTCACTTTAATTTATCCACCCGTTGAAATTGGTCTCTTGGTTGCTTAGATTATCTGTTTCTACCTAATTTTGCAAATGATAGATTTTTGTTGAAGTTAAATACTGAAAACTATAAGTTGTAGTTCAAAAATCATGTAATAAAATCATAAAGATAAATATTTGCATCATTAAAATAATTGTTTATCTTATGCATGATAACAAAAGCTAGTGTGGACAACATAGTAAATGTTCTTCATAAAAATAAAATAAAAAATAGTTTCAACATCCCCACATTGAATAATTATGGGCTTGATAAAAATATGTTACTTAAAGTTTTGTTAAGTTTCAACAGTAAAAATGAAAATTTTGAGCTAATTCTTTGTGGAGAAGTTATGAATACTTAAATATACAAATTTGTTATTTTTGATATTTTTACTGAGATAGCAGCGTTGAAGAATCAGTCAAATTCTATTGAATAAGTTGAATATATATATGTTCATAGGCTTATAACCAGAAACTCTTTCTTTTTTTTTCTACGTAGTATAATGTGAAGTGCAATGAACGGGACCAAACTAGAATAAGTGATATTGTTACTTGTCACTTATCACATAAATGGAAATAATTATACACACATTATTCTTATTTATTGTGCAAAATTTTTTATTAAATAGTTAGGTACTCACCTTGAACCAAACATTCAAAAACTTTGTACTAAGCTATGAAAAAAACTTGCACATTTCTAGTCAATAATATCTACTCGAACCGGATTCTACTCTCTAAAAATATTTTATTGTCTTTTGATCTAAGCGTAAAATAGTTTCAATTAGAAAATTTTTGTATGAAAATTTATTAAGTGCAGATTTACGTCTAGTATTAAATTTCTGTAATTAGCTATAAGTAGTAAATTTTTGTATCGGATCAGTTACGTGCAGGATTCTGATCTAAGTGAATAATGATAATGTAGGGAATATTTGTGTCGAAAATGTGTGTGTGACGGTATTACCTAGTCTATTGTAATTGTATAGAAAAACTTTGTGTAGGATATATTCGGTCTTCACTAGTTGTGTTGCACGCGCTCCGCACAATGTAGTTACCATTGTAAGACTGCCAACTTTTGATGAAAAAAAAAAAAAAAATCGATGTTAACCTCTTCCCCTTACGCCGGATAAGAGTGGAAGTTGTGGACTAGTTGTACCTGTCTTGAGACAATACATTTTGTGTGTAAATATGATTTAAATACAATTACTGCTACCACAGTAACGTTTCATGCACATTATCGTCAAATGAAATTATATTCCAGTTCTTTTTTTGTTCTTACCAAAAACACCAATCGTTGTGATAATGGCAATATTTAAAATCATTTTTAAAGCTATTAAAAATTTGTAAAATTTCTACTGAATTAATAACAGTGAAATATACATGCGATGATGATATTTATTCAGTAACATAAATTGATACTACTAACCTTTCAACGAAGTATGTCGACGTTTCCTCACGAAGAACTCTGAGCGTCTGACTAAAAATTAGACTTAGCGACTGGGATCCAAGAGCTGACTGATGGCCACGTTAACCAACAAATACCACTAAAATGTATACTCCCCTCCCTCTTTTACCTTAAAATTACAAGGCTGGCTCGTGTCGATTTCGCCTGCGGCCTTACCTGATAAGTTATCACTCACACTTATATACATATGTCTTCACACGGTTAGGTTTCTAGAGAACCCGGACTCCTCGAAGCTGATAAGCAGCTAATGAGTGGCGTGTTATATTTTTCTACGATATGTACTAATNAGTATTGTTTATTTGATTAATTAATTATATAC